AATGCCAGTCGTCCCGAGTCGGGGAGGCATTCCCCACTCTTTGCTGCGATTGCACCACAAGTCTCCAAGCACGCAAAATATTTAAACAAAAAGCGGCAAAGGGGGCCCTGTGGGGCAACGCGTGCGTGCGCTCGGTTCGGCTCTGTTCGGTTCGCCCCAAAGGGAAACCAGACCTTGAAATGCACTGCGCACTCGCACTTATGACAGGGGCGTTAATTTATGTGAGAGGAGGAGGATTGGGTGACGGGGAGATCGAGGGGAGTCGAAGTCAACTTTCTGTGTGATCATGTGCCTCAGTGCCATTGAGGATCGTTGCGTGCCAGATATCCCGCCCTCAGGAGCCGCACATCTAGCGACAGATCGGGTCGACAGATCGTTTTTCATTTTAGAGCTTGAATATGCCATAAATATTTAGCTCTCAGCTGCAGCTATAGATTAAAGTTAAACATAATCTATATGTGAGCAGTGATATTCAGTGATTTCATCCAATAATCGTTTCCAAGCTCGATATCGAATTCGATTGAGTGTTCAATGTTTTCGTTCCTATATCCATTCCCAAAAAAAAAACGAAAACGATCGTGACGAGGGATTAAGCTTGGAGTGAGCGTTGCAGTCCCCTCAGTCCCCCCCATTCCTTGACTCCCACGATGATTATTTTGAGTGATCTTTCGTGGAACTGAGATGAGAGAGCGCTCTCTGCAGCTGTTTGTGGCATCGTGATCTTGTCACCGCAGTTGTGACACTCTCCACCCAATGGTTGCCCCTTTTGGCCAATTAGCTTTGGCCCAAAATCAAAGTCCCCCCCATTTCTGGTGGCCAATCCGCATCCATCGCGGCCATAGAATCCATCGCATCTGCTGCCTTAATTATTCGGTCCCTCAACTCGGGAATCATCTCATCTCGGTCACAGTTTCTCCACCCCACTGTGCGGCACGCACTTCCCACTCGTAAAAACTGAAAACATTTTTTGGAAACGACACCACGCCACGCCACTCCACTCCACTCCTTCAGCAGACACATAAAAATGTTGTTGGGTAACCCTTTGGCTTGTTGGCTGTCTCTCTGTCTGCGTGTCGCCTTCCCAGTGGAGTAGTGGAGGAGCAGGAGGAGGAGGTGTCCCTCCTCATGTTGTTAAATGAAATGCCGTGTTGGCCATCATGATTATTTCTGACATTTGTGGCAAATGTTGTGCCCCGAAAACTTTTCTCACTCTGTCGCCCTGCTAATGACACACCACACCACACCACCCCACACAGCAATCGCTGGGCCCTCGGACTCGGATCCTCTACTATTTATAAATAATCAAAATTGTTGACACAAATTGTTGTGGCGAGTGGCACGATGGGAAGGGATGGGTGGAGAGGGGAGGGGAGAAGGAGAAGGAGAGCGGTGCCCCTACATTCGGGTTAGACGCCATTTAATTGTTTTATGTTGAGTTTTCGTAAGGAAATAAAATCAATTTTAATTACATTTAGCCGTTGACATTTTAAAGGGGGGGATATCGGATGAGTATCCGAATCAGAGAGTGGCGGGGAAACCAGTTTCTGCCCCATGCTGCATGCTGCATGCCTTCCTCCTCCCTCCTTCCTCTTGCCAGTGTCGGCGGTGTCAGGCTTAATTCCAGTCTCCCGCCAAGTCCCCGTTTGAGCTGCGGCTCTTTTCTGTCTTCTGTGTGGGGGAAACCAGTTTTGCCCAATGCCCCAATACCCCTGCCACCCATTCTTCTCCCTCGATTCTCAATATCAGTCAATGCAGTCCAAGTTCCAGTCTCCAGAAGAGACTTAAATTCCAGAGATTCAGTCAAAGTGTCAAGCGCAGTTCCAGTCTCCAGAAAGGGAGAGAGAGAGAGAGAGAGAGAGATTACATATGTGTGCACAATGTACATTGCACATACGTACATAGGTATCAAAAATGATTGGGTACCACCGGGTCCGGGTATTGTAGTGTCCGGTCCAGACCTGTTCACGTACCCGTCACCTTACGACTCGTTTTAGTTTAAGTTTTCGTTCCCGTCTCGAGTTCCAGTCTCCAGTATCCAGTCTCCAGCTCCAGTCTCCAGTCTATTCCCCATTTAAGCTGCTGCTGATTTTTCGTGTGTCTGTTGCATCCTATCGATATGCTGAAAACTTGTTGCAACTGGCTGCGAACTCGTTTGGTAGCATTTTGGGGCAGGCAGGAGTTCGGTCAGTGTGTGGGGGAGCAGGCGACCAGAACAGAAGGAGAAGTGTGCAGCAGAGGAGAGAGGGGGAAGAGTGCAAGAGTAGGAGCTGTGGGCATTGAAGCGGGGCTGAGGGGCGTGCCACATGATTTGCGACACAAAGCAAAACATTTTTTTTTTCTCTAACGGGAGAGAGCAGAAGGGAAAACCTTAATTATCTGCAAAAAGAGGGTACGGGTACGGGTACGGGTACTGGTACTGGCTCTCTGTTCCTGCCTCATTTTCGCGCTGCATTTTTTGCGTAGGCCGTGGAATGGAGTAGGGTGGAGTGGAGTGGAGTGCAGCGAACCTGGAAGCCAAACGAAAGATTAATGCGCTGCGAGACAAACCCGAAACTCGGCAGCATTATATGAGAAGAGAGTGCTGCGAGAGAGGAGGATAGTGGTAAGGGGCTTGGTAGAGGGAAGCTGTTTCAATAGTTGGCAACAGTGGGGTAGGGAGGCAGTAGCAGGGCCATGTTCGTGCCTCTGGCCACTAAATCTAGAGCTGTTTGAGCCGCTTTTTGGCCTGGCTCCGGAGTCCGGACTTCAGCCAACGAGCAGATTTTGCATCTGAGAGATACATTTTGGGAGAGAGAGAGAGAGGCAGAGAGAGAGAGAGAGTAAGCAAAGGATCAGTGAGCGATCATTCATGGGGCCAAAGACATTGAAGAACAAATAAAGTTCAACAAATTTCCAAGAAAAATATGAGATCGTATCTCAAGCTACATGGTATCCATGGGATTTTTTTTAACTCAAAGGTACAGATATGTACACATGTATATATTCGTTATGTGAGTGCGAAATGTATCTGCCAAATGTATCTTCATAAAATCTGTTTAAAATCGAAAACAAAAGAAAACGAAAACGAGTAATCCTACTCAACGGATTGCAGATAAACACTGAGCATATCATCATGGCCATTATATCGGAATATCCCAGAGATACATTACACAATTCGATGCCAAAGAATTCTTTCAATTCCAGTGATGACATTCCGCCAGCTGTGTGGCGATACTCGCTCCCTCATTTTTTGTGGCTAATCTGAACGTTTTTTGCATATGTCACGGTTCGATCATCTTCGGGGGCATCTCATCCAACGAACTTTTCTTTCGAAGGGTGATGCAATGGGATATCTTTTGGCGCTGCTTTTAATGATTTTAATGAACGTGAAATTATGTTCGTTTATGAGCCGAAAGGCTGTGAGACCTGCTGCTGTGCTTTGTAGATACAAAAGTATCTGTATGTGTACCATATCTGTGGAATGTGCCAGTTCACTCTGCTGTGTGTTAATTAATATGAGACATGTCGACACGGCACACACACTTTATCTGTCCGTATCTTTGATATTGTCTGATTAATGACAGAGTTTCCATTAATAGTTGAAGAAGAAGAAACCCCGATACATTTCTCCGCAGCTCTCTTCCGCATTTATTTTCTGGCGATGGTCCCAAGGAATAGCCAAAGGTCCACTTAACCGTTTTCGGCTCTCTCTGTATGTGTATCTGTGCATCGCTGCATCTCGGGGCGTCTCGAGGCATCTGCAAATTTTTTCGGCTCACTTGAGGTGTCTTTTTCATTTTCGTTTCTCTGCGGTGTTTTATTCAGTTTTTTTTTTGCCATATCATAAATTTAATTTGAGATGAAAATCCCGTGGCTATGCCACATTAACCCAAGACGGGTTATGGTTGCTCTGCTCCATTCTCTCCATTGTATGAGATACATTTCGATCTTTTCCGCTTGGCTTTCTCCTCCCTCTCCGAACAATAACGGATTACATTCGAAATTGTTTGGAATCGGCGCCCGTGCCCCTCCGCTCCATCGAGTGCTTTCCAATATTACACAATGACGTTGAATATTTGGTCCGTGCCGCACGCCGCTTGCCGCTTGCCGCTTGCCGCACCGTGGCGCACATCATGGGTGGGATTTTGTGATTAGAGCGATACACCAGCCAGCCAAACAGCCAGCCAGCCAAGCAGCCAGCCCGCAGTCCATCCGTCCAACCGGACTGTTGCAGAGGCAGTGCCTGTGGCGGTGTCAGTGGCAGGGATTGTTGTAACAAATATGTTGTATGTGTGTGTGTGTGTGTGTGTGTGTGTGTGTGTGTTGGGTGTGCAACGAGATACAAGAACTCTCGTACCAAAATCTACACTGGAATCTACACTTATTCTGATTGTTTGTCCAGCAAATGCGGCTTTGCTGCCTGGCTCTAGCTCTAGCTCTCGCTCTCGTTTCTGCCCTCGCTTTCGCCCTGATTCTGTTCCCGATTCTGGCTCTGGCTCTGCCTCTGCCTCTGCTCCCCTCTCCTTCTCTCCTTCACTGATGGCCCGAATCCAGTTTTCATATTTGAACATGAACATTCTTGAACGAAAGCCAAGAATGATTTTTGCTTCCCTTCGCATATGGACAATCGGAATGGGAATGGGAATGGGGATGTGGGATGGGGTAAATATGTTACCGGGCAAGCACTTAAGCCCGAAAACAACGACTGAAGCCGCGATAACCATGCAAAAAAATGGAAGGGAAGGGGATGATAATATCATAAATGTGGAGCCGATATTGATTAAAATTTAAGCAGTGTATGTAAAATCATGTTGAGTGAGCTGGACTTCGTTCGGTGATTCAGTGAGTAAGCTTCGATATAGATTAGGGATACAAAACTATAAAAACGTTAGAAATCCAACTGTAAAATGCGGCAATGTAAGGCGTAACGAAAGGTCGCAAAAGGTGTTGAGACCGCTGGTGTGAAAGCCTCCAGCTAATCTTTTGCAAACATGTATTTATTTGAATCCATTTCCATCCAGATCCCAAATGAAAACTATGTAAAAAACCTACAGCACACGACACGAAAATAGGAATTCGAATAACGAAATCGAAATCGATATCGATATCGAAAGGATATTCGAAGGAACCGATCGGATCTGCAAAGGAGGTGGAGGAGGAGGAGATACTTTCAGCTCCAGGTGGCGGCTACGAGGCTGCAATGGCACCAAGGCCCCCACGGGCCATGCCGCATGCCTCATCGATGACGAGGGCGTGGCATTGAAGGAGTGCAGAGAGCGAGAGCCCTTTCGGATGATTCATGATTCATGCGAGTGCGAGTGCAAATGAAATGCAACGTGGCCAATAATAGTAATTAATAATAATAATAATAATAAATGCAATAGTCATCGCAACATTGCAACATAATTAACGTGGAGAGCGAAACAAATTAAATATTCAACATAAATCGTCAGTGAAGTGCACAGTCGCCACACGTGCCACGTACCACGAAACATTTACTTTAATCCCCTGCCCTGAAATACAGTGAAAACAGTGACAGAAGGAACCGAGAACCGAAAACCGAAAACGAGAACCGAACGAGAGCAACGTGGCGCAGCGCGATACCAAAATGACTATGAAATCGATGAAGTACTCCGATTGTGATACCATTATGGATGGCTATAATCCGGTGCCGCCGCCACTGCCACGACGTGTGCCACCCGTTCGCAACATTTACGCGGAGCCCTTTGCCCATGAACCGAACCATTCCAGCAGGTAAATATACATTCATTCATGCATCCATTCGAGTGGACAATGGATGGATTCATGGGTCCATGGGTCCATGCATCCATGGATAATGTTGCAGCATTCATTCCCTGTCACATGTCCGCGTGTCTATGCAAATAATTGTAATTAAGTGGAGTCCCGGAGTGTCCTGTTCTGTTCTGTTCTGTCCCGTCCTGTTCTCTGGTACTCCTATCGTGAAATGTAATCAAAACGCCAGAAACAGAACAGGCTGCAGTGGCATTCTGCAGACTCAAGTCCCCGCGCTAGTCCCCATCCCTGACCACCTCTAAGTGGGAACTATGTGAGAACTTCCCCCTTAATCCGGGCGATGGGGTTCTTTTTTTGTTGCATGCAACAGCATTACTACGTAATAAGTGTGTGTATTGCGAAATATATTTTAGAAACTAATTTGAAAAGGAGAACAATTTTTTTTGTTAGCGAAATGTCCCATATTTGATGGGACGGACGGGCTTTCAGTATGCATTTTTATAGTCGGAGGAGGGAGATGGATGCACTCCACGCCACTCTCCGCCTGTCGCCTGAAGGCAAGGCAAACCATAGGCCACGTGGTGGAAAGAAGAGAGGGAGGAAGACGCGCGAGGGAGCCGGGCAGACAGCTGTAGGAGCTTACGAGGCACCAGGAGGCTTCAAGAGGGTGGTAGGGAGGGGGGGGGAGCCACCACAACGGCCAAGTGGTAAGCAACAGTCAGCCAACTGATACGATACAAGATCCCCATTCCCATCCCCATGCCTGCAGGTTGGGCTTTGGCGCTTCTAGGGGTTCTGGCGGTTCTGCCGGTTCGGGGCTGCAGGGGATGGGTGTTTGGTAGAAAATGCGCCAGCAATATGTTCGCCTGTCAGTTTCATGCATTTCATATCGAAAACCATTCCTTCTTTTACTTGAGTGAGTTTTATGAGCAACGAGCCGAACCAGAACTGCTGTATATGGGTACGGTATATGGTGAGTGGTGGGGGGTGGATGATGATGATGCTCCACTGGATACATTGTATCCTTGCAGCCACCCCATCATCATCGTATCGTGCCACTATTGTATACCAGCACGGCCAGGAGTGTACCACATAGATGGAGCAGCATCAGTGGCCCCGTTTATATGCATAGTTTTCAGTTGCTGCTGCGATTGTGGAGAGCTGTGGAGCAGAGAAGAGAGAGCGGGCAGAGAGCATAGAGATAACTGGGTTAGAGATTCGTGTGTTCCGCTGCCAGTGTCGTTCTATATTAAATGAAAATTCCAATTACTTTTTATGGGATGTACAGCGCACACACAACACACACAGAACACACACAACAGACACTGGGAGGCAAAACACTTTACTCAAATGCAAAATGGAGAAAAAACGGAAAACAACTATGGCGCACCGCACCCAATCCGCTTGAATGGTTGGTTAGGGGAATGCTTTAGAGTCGGACTTTGTGGCACCTTTCTGGGGATATATGTATACCACAATCGCGTAATGATCTCCGATATGCTCGCTCGCCTGTGCTGCCAATTTCTGCATTTAAAAACTATCTTTAGTACGTGAAACATTCCCCCAGAAATTGCAATAAATATTTGCTTCTTTTCCGCTCCCATTCTGCGGTAAGTTATGGAAACATCTGCGGTAACTTCTGGGATGGCAGTTGGTGGTAAATAGGGGGAGGGAGGTACCTGACACATATACTCGTACTCCCACTCGTACTCCTACTCGTATGCATGTACCTAAGGGGCACGTTAACACGGGGCGCAACGTCGCTCAACCGATATTTGATGAGGTCACCGAATGCTCGACCGAAACTTTCAACTGCACAAACTTTGTGTGCGGGATGTGGCAGTGGCAGAAGCGAATTTAATAATTCAAGTAGCTTCAGAAGCCTCCACTCAGGCTGCAGGTCGCCGAGCGCAGGGCCTGACGTCCCCTCTAATGACCTACTTGAGAAGCTTGCAACAAACAACAAATACAAAAAAAAAAAATGGATGCCTCCCACACAAATAATTTTTGTGCGGTACATGCCGCCCCCCACCCCGTGTAGGTCAGGTGGTTTGGGTTGCTCAAAAACTTGTTCAGTTAGGGACTGGAGCCTGGGGCTTGGGGACTGGGGCTTGGTTTTGGTTTGCATTTCGTTTCGGTTTCGACAGAACTTCAAGTGCATTCCATCCCCGAACCGAACGAAAGATGCATTCCACTCGCAGCAAATGTGTGGGTAACCTTTTGACCCAGTCGAAGGAGAGCGGACAAAAGAAGAGCCCCCCGCCCCACCCCCCAATCAATATCTATATCAATATCTTTCTGGAGTATCTTTCTGCAGCAGAAGGCAACAGTAGATATTATGATGAGTCCCTTGTCCCGAGCCCGGACTCGCATTTTGATTGAAATTTCGTTACGTCTTTTGTTGCACAAACAACCAGACGGCCCAGGGGATGAGTATCGGTATGGGTATGGGTATCGGTATCCATACCGAGATGAAGACGACATATCACATATCGCATATCAAACAGAAAATACCAAACACGAGACACACAACTCGATTCTGCTCGTTAGGCAGCATTTGTTTCGGACAGTTGCCAACTAATTTGCTTTGAAATGGATGTCGAGGGTTGAGGGTCCTGCAGGGAAGCCAAGGGGAGCAGAGGCATGCGAACATTGGGGTCACCAGATGGCGCGGAAGAGTCCATTGAAAGGAAAGCAACACGGAGGGTGTAATGCAAATGGCTGGGTGAATGGAATTCTATTGGAAAGAGAGGAAAGAGGCTTTCGATGTGCTCTCGATATTCCTCGGAATACTATTTGATAGATAGTGACTACTGGTGGTTAGTGATTAGAGAAAATTGGGGCTTGGTTTCCAATTTGTATATTTGTTTGGGCCGAAAAACTGTTGCCAGAGAACTTCAAAGTCGGCGCTGTCTTATTTATTATTATTTCCTGTTGTCCGTCTGGGACTGTCGCTGCTGTGACGGTTGGGGCTCTGGCCTGGGGCTAGGCTGCGGCTGCACGCCTATGAATATCTCCGCTCTTCAGCTCATCCCACTCCGGACTCCGGCTGCTTGGTGTCATCGCACAGGCAGAGCGTTGAATTGGCGGAATTGGCAATACTAGCGTTGCGGCTGCTTCCGGGAGTTCGGATTTGGATTCGGACCCAAATTCGTGGCTGGGACCCTCTTTGGGAAGCGCACGCTCTTGCGGCCGCTGGGACCCTCCTGCCTCTGCTTCTGCTTCTGTTCCTCCCTCTTCTGACTCAGCCTCGGAGCCACCTGCTGGGTGACCGTTGGTCTCTGGCGGCTGCTGGTGGGGCTCGGATTGGCGAAGGACACCGATCGCACGGGGATGCGATTGGGGACCGAGATGCCGCGGGTCACTCCATGTCCCGGAAGGGCGGCTCGTGGCGCCGATCGCATACTGCCGCCAGTGACGGCGGCGGTGGCGGCGGCGGTGGCGGCGGAGGCGGAGGCAGATGCTCCGCCCGGGTGGGATGGCACAGCCATCAAGCCCGGACCCCGCTGGACGGTGCGCCGGAGGAGGGCGTTCTCCTTCAAGAAGCGGGCGCGCAGGGTGCGCATCTCCTCCATCAGTCGCTCCCGATGCAGCTCCAGATCCTTCAGTTTCCGGTGCTCGGCGGCCAACGTCTGGCACAGTCGGTTGTACATGTTGTTGTTTCGTTCCTGGTTCCGCTCATGGTCCCGCCTACGGCTCGATCTGTCTCCTTTCTTCCTCTTGTCAGACATCGCTAAGCACCATACACGGACTCCACGGACTCCACGGACTCTACGGGCCTTTTCGGGGGAGGGAAACAAACAAATTTTGAAACTGGAATTTGTATGTATTCTGTAGATGTTGTGTGTGCCGACTGAGAAAAATATCTGAACAGCTTTATTCTGACAACTGACATAATCAGGGGGGGCTCCTGCTGTCACAGCCAAAAGTCATACATATATTTTTTATTTCGAGGCGCTCCCACATTCGCAAATGTGTGTTTTATTTCCTGCTGTGCTGTTAAGCGCAAAATGTACTGCTGCTATGTTTAACAGAGATCCATCGATAACCCGAATCGGGCTACCACAGCTGTTGGGACGCATCGACTATTGTTTGTTGCCCTGACCAACTTTAAGTGTCACGTTTGAGGACAGGCCAGACGAATTAAAATATACCCTACATTATCTTGTAATATATTTAATTCCTCTCAGTGCAGCGAATGCCTCCCCTTTTCGCTCAGTGCAGTGTTCGAGCGCCTCCTTCCACCCTTAGCGCCATTAACCATCCATCTCCCTCTCTCTTTGCATGCATCAAATTGGTTCAACTATTAGAGTGAAAAACTTTAGTGCTCCTTTTCGCGCAAACGGAGTCTCAGACGTTCGGTTTCATGCTCTTTCCCTGCAACACTCCTCGTGCTCCTCCTGCTCCGCCTGCTTCTCTTCCTCGACTGGGTCTAGCTCATATTTTGGCAGACAAACTTCAAACTATTGTTGTGGCAAGTCAATGAACTGGCAAAATCGCCTAATATTTCCACACTCCACACTCCACAGACACTTTACACTCCCTTCCATTCTTCGTCCTCCTGCGGTCCTCGAAAAATCCTCCATTCGGGAACTGGTCCTGGTCCTGGGTTGGCCCTGGTCCTGTCCCTGTCCCTCCTTCATGTTTTGTGTGCTGTGAATGGCCAAGTATATTAAAAGTCTATTTCTTTTGGCAAGACAATAATGTTCAGCCCGCGAGGGTGCACAAGGAACCGAAGGGATGAAGGATGAGGGATGAGGGATGATTGGAGCATTCAGGATTGAGAAGGGTGTGCGGAGAGAGAGAGAGAGAGATAGTGACAGTGTCCCTGGTCCCTTCTTTCTCTCACTATTGGCGGCGCTTTAACAAAAGCACAAGAAGATGAAGTATGCTGGTTGTAGGAGCCTGGATACAGGACCGAGTACCGAGCACTGAGGACCGAGGACCCAGGACTCATGACGCTGTCCCGGATCCTCAGATAGTGAGCGGTGGGAGCCGGGCGGCTATTGTTCTACTTCGCGAAATAGCGCACATAAAAAGCCAAAGAACGACGACGGGCATAAATGATAAAAAACAGAAGAAGAAGCAGGAGAGGGAGGGAGCAGGGCAGTGGCAAGTAGCGCAAGGCAGACAGTGAAACAGAGAGAGAGAGAGAGAGAGACAGAGAGTGACAGAAGATGGTAGAGAAAAGAGAAAAAGGTTAAAGGAATTGGATAGCGGGAGGGAAAATGATGGAAATGGGATAGTGTGGAATGGTTAGAGAATGGCAATCCACGGCCCGGCATCGACATCGGTCTTCCTTTGCCACTGCCACTGCCACTGCCACTGCCGCTGCCCCAAAGAGCCTGCACCCAGACCATGCCGCGCCCCAACAATGTGCGACTGTCAATTCCAGCGAAAGGGTTAAAAATGTTTCATTGCCTCGACTCGTTCTCTCCCGTCTCCGTCTCCGGCACCGACACCGACACCGACTCTGAATCCGACGTCCGACCTTCCGGCTCTCCGACTGTGAAGACAACATATGCCAATAATTTACGCAATTTAGTCTTGGCAAAAAAAGAAAATAATGAAGAAAACCAAAGACTGACGCACGAGACAACCAAATGGGGAAAATGTGATGGGAATGGGGGGATGAGGCCCAATGGAGCCAGACAAGCAGATCCATCGCAATCAGCGGGTGGGGGGGCATGTGGCAAGGCTAAGGGTTAACCACCCGACAGAAAGGGAAAGAAACCCCGAGAGCAGACTCCGAGTGGATGCTGAATTTTGTATTTTAAATGTTATTCAAATTCAAATTGTGTCACATTTCTCAAGGTAATGGCTCGGAATTGTCTCCGGAAAAGGAAAAGGGTTCGTTCCGTTCCCCTTTTTGAGGACCTTCTTTTCTCTTGTTTTCGTATGTTGTGGCCATGTCTTCCATTTTATTTATTGACTGTCATTTCCACCAACCCACTAGGCCTTCCCTCCGCCTCTGCCCCATCACAACGCTATTCTAAATTCAGGGTGAGGGTCTGAGCGATGCCATAGAAATGTACAATGTGATGTGTTGTGCAATAGGTAAACGATTTAACCAGCGCTTAGCTAATTAGCAGAGGAAGTTACTGGCCATCGTACACCCGAACCCGAACCTGAGCCTGAGCCTGAACTCCACCCTGAAACACCCAACCCATAACCCCTAACCCATAACCCCACGCAACCTCGTATCGACTATCTGCCAACGGAAGTTGCGTCATCAAAAGGCGCTTAGATATGCATCTCCAATTACCTCTCACTGGACATGGCCTGGGGGCGAAAGACAGCTTTTGATTGATGCTGAAACAAAGAAAGAAAAATACACAAAGACAGAAGGACGTAAAGGCAAATATGTACAGACATTTAAGACCTGTCCAGACTATGTCCAGAATATATCTGCATACTCGTATTAATATGGGAACAAAATACTTGAATCATTGAATTATTATCTGTTGGATCTTGAGCATATCGAAATAGATTCAAACAAGAAAGTTCAGAGCGAAATGAAAGTTTTCCAGAAGGAATCCATTCCCAGATGTTCTTCTCGCCAGGCTCGTGCGATGTCCTGCCCATGTGCTACACTAAAGGAGGGTCTCTGTCCGCTCTCTCTCTCTCTCTCTCTCTCTCTCTCTCTCTCCTTTTCGTACCCATCTCAATTACAGCACTTTAATGGAACCACCTTTTGTTTGAGGAGCTGGCTGGCTTTCATTTGATTCCTTTGGTCATTTCACTTGCCTTTGGGGCATGGCTGCCGCTCCTGCTGCTGCTGCTTGTGCCATCCCCTGCTAATGATGTCCAATTCCTTGTTCAATTCGGGTTACCTTGGAGCCAAACACACATGACATGAGCTACGTAACTACTTGCAAGCCCAACTACATGAGGAGGAGTGCGCTGCTACTTGACTGCTAATTGGACGATAAAAGAAGTGAAAGTGTGAGCAGGGGAGAGAATATCGAATGCAATGAGCTTGCCACAAAAAAAACGAATGAAAGGAAGGAACGAACGAAAGAAGGAACTGGAACTGGAACAGGAAGGGCAACTGAAGGCATAACACACTTGGGCTAAGCAGGCACCCAACCGCCAACCGCCATCTGCATCTGCAGCTCCATCTTCGTCCTTGCCCTCTTCCTGATGCGACTAATGACAAGTCAAAAGGAAAAGCTCTCTGCCAAAAACAGTTTCAGCGAGTCAGAGGCAGATGCAGTGAGAGGCAGAGAGTCAAAAGTAGCATATTTTGTGGTCACCACGCCTCACCTAACCGAAGTCTCAAATCCTCAGAGTCGCAGTAGCAGTCGCAATCCTAGACCCAATTCCCGAGTCTCAGCTCCAACTCTTCGCCCTCCACACACTCCACACACACTTTGCCTTTGCCACTTCTTCCATGTTTCATTTTTAGTTGCCACTGAACTTCTGCCTTACTGTCTTTTCAGTCCCCCCTTCCATTTGATACTTCCCGTTTTATTTCTTCCTTTTAGAGGAATAACTTTCCCCCAACACTCCTTCTCACTTCTCACATCTATGCCTGGATGCGTGTCTGCGTGTGTGTGTGTGTGTGTGTGTGTGTGTGTGCCCCATGATGCTGCACAAAAAACTTCCGACAAAAATTGTGCAAACGCAAGCAGGAAAACATAAATCTGGCTAAAGCTAAAACGCAAACTTTTATTTAAGGAAAAAATAAAAAAATTAAAAAAGGAACGAAAGAACGAAAAAACCAAAGAACGAAAAAAAGGAACAATTTTGTGTGAGTGCGTGCAAGTGATAGAGGGATTGAGGGACTGGGATAGGGATAGGGCAGAAAAAAGAAGAGCAAGAGGAGAGAGTGTTTCTCGAGATGGGGGATTGGGTGGATGGACAAGGTCGACCCTACAGTTGCGCTGCATGCCCGATGCCCGGTGCCCTGTACCCGGTACCCGAGTATCAGGTACTCAGTCAGTCAGATTTTGGAATATATTATTTGTTTCTGTGTGGGCGCAAGGGGGCGGGCGCAGTGCGCACAATACACAATATAATATCGGTCAATAGGGTCATGCCACGTGCGGCGTAAAGCAACCCGAGATGCATTTCTGTCTGGAATTGTTACCACTCATTCTTCAGATATGTAGCTTCCCTCAAGAGCTTAAGGGGAAAGATGTTCCGCCCACTCTTCGCCATCCACTGATTGTAGAGCATTGCCAAAACCCTAAATGCCGCACCCATCCGAACATAAAAATGCGAGAACGAGACTCGTTTCGTCTTCGCTGGGAGAAAGAGCTAGAGCGAGGCAGACTCTTTGCTTGGGGAATCTTCCTTTTTTTTTTTTTAAGCAAATGTCCACATTTTGACCATTTGAAAGTCAAACATACAACATACAGGCAACGTTTTATGCCACTGACGTGCGTCCGCCTTTGCTGTTGCTGCTGCTGCTGCTGCCTTTGCGTGGCATGTATCTTTTATTTCAGCTGGAGCTGGAGCTGGATTTTGATTGTGTGCCCCCGAGTGCGAGTCCGCGTGCGAGTGTCTGGTGTGTCTGATGTGTGTGTGTGTGTGTGCAACAAACAGACTTTGGCTGGCATTGCGACGACTTGAGCTTGAAATTTTGCAACATACCTTCGACATGGACATCTTTTGGGTATTTTTACGACTATCTCTGCTTCGGTTTGGACACAAGAATGGACAGGGCGATGGAATGACCACAAAGCCAGGCGCCCAAGAGCCGCGACCACGTCCCGTCCTTGCCATCCTTCTCCTTCGCTCTGCTCCGTTCCGCCCTTCCCTGATCCATTCTGATTCTGGTTTGTGCTCTGGTTTTTGTTCTGGTCTGTGTTCGGGTTCTGGCTGTATGTTTTGGGATGGCAGCCAACGTGAATTTTTTGGCCAAATA